TGCCATTCACAGTTCTCAAGCTGGAAGCAGCTTTAATTTTTTTTGGAGAGGTTTTTGCTATAGGGCACGTGCGCTCGCCAGCCAGACAGAGAGAGACAGAGATACAGAAAGCGAGAAATCACCCCCCAGGGGGGATGGCCATGCCGCAATCCTTTCTCCTCCATTCTCCTCTTGGGATGTTGGGCACGCATGCATATGCGCCCAGCGTGAGTTTATGACACCAAGTCTGGGACTCGAACCGCAGTCGACTACATGGGAGAAGAGTGACATAGCCATTACGCTAACTGCTGGTCCCACAACTTTAATTCTTAAAGCATTATTTCTAGAGGGATTTGTGTAGATCATATTGAACCATGGTTTTTAGATTTTTATTCTAAAAGACAAATTTTATTTATTTATTTTGATTCATGACGTAAGATGCTCCCCACTTAGTGTCAGCTTGAGAATTTCCGCAAAGAGCGAATGAATGGGTAGATGTTCTAATGAGCTTGTGGCATTTTTCTAGATGTTTTAAAATTATTGGGATTTATTTTATCTAAACTTGCATAAACCACCTGATTAGTGTTATAGGATCATAGTAAATGTGAGAGTAAAGAAATTTCAAATCAAGGGCTAGCAGATGGCATAGCGGTTACATTGCTGGACTCCCACATGGCTGAACATGGTTGGAGTCCCAGACCCAGTGGCTTGAAACACACTCAAGACGCGTGTGCATGCCCAAGGAGAAGGGATTGCAGCATGGCCATCTCCCTGGGGGGTGGGGGGGAGGGGTCATATCTCTCTTTTCCTCTCACTGTCTCTGTCTTTCTCACTCTCAGGTGACTGTACACACCCTAAGGCAAAAACCTCTTAATACAAAAGAGAAATTTTAAATTATAACTATGTTCAAATCGGCCTAATTCCCAAATGCAACATAGTAACAATGCCATCTACAACCAATGACTCAGTCAATGCCACAGACACACTGCAACTGGAAAAATGCTCAAGAAAAGACTATCTTTACAAAGGCAGAATTCTTAGCCTGCCAAATTGTAGAACTTTGTAATAAAATACTCAACGATGTGAGTTATAATCCATTGGACTTCATAATTCTATGAAAACATTGACGTTTGTTAGATGATTTTTTTCCCTTTCACAACTTGGTACAAAAGAATTATTCACAAATTTAGGCCTCCACCACCCCTTCCTGGAAACTCTCATTAAAGCTAATACATTCTGTAATATTCAAAGTAGAGTTAGAATGATCATGTTCTACCCTGTTAGGTGCTAAAGATGATGTATAGGTAAAATTTGATCTCAATTTCATATGATTTTTGCTTGGCTTTTTCTGTAACACTTTGGTTGTATAACTCTACATTATTAGAATTCTTTTTTTATGGGGCTATAAAATCTTGCATTTCACATCACTGCTGTTAGTGTTAGGAATGATATTAGGGATGGCTATTCTACTCTCCAACAGTGAAATCCTACGAGAAATGGAAAGCAGAAACCAGGCATCTTGAAATACCTAGTGACTTGCTGACAACATTATGCAAACGTTTTTAATCATTATTTATACATAACTTTTATATTAGTTCTTAGTTTCTTTGAGGCAAAATACTGAGATATTTTTAAAATCATGCCTTTGTGCAGAGGGTAGGTATTCTTTCTACAATGGTGAGCAACATCCGTGATGCTAGTTCGAGGTAGAAAACTGGGTAGATATATTTGCATTGAGAAAGTTACAGTCCTTTATGGAAAACTTAAAATCACATCACAGTAGGTAATATCTACTGGGCTCCAGTGGCAGTTAATTTTCATCATCCTAATTTATGTCTTTACCCCATTTCTTGGTCTTGTGAGCAATTTCTGGAAGATTCTTTGTTTACACTAGCAATTTTCAAAACCTGTTCCTTAGAACCCTAGTCCTGTATGATGCGCTACAGAGAATTTTATGGTGAACTAAGTTAGATAATACTTCATAAAATCGTCCTTCTTTTAGGGAATTACAACACAGAATCTTAAAGGGTCAGAAGGTGTTGTGAAGGCTAGGGTGGCTCGAACATGGCTGACTGTGTGGTTCGAATCCTGGACCCAACAGCTTGAAAAATCACACCAGGTGTGTGTGTGTGCATGTCAAAAACCCTGAGAGACAAATGGAGGAGGAGGGATTGTGGTGTGGCCACTTCCTTGGGGGGTGCTTTCTCAATTTCTCACTTTCTCTCTCTATCTCTCTCTCACTGTGTCTTTCTCAGATGAGCATATGAGCCCTATAGGCAAAAACAAACAAACAAAAACTGAAGAAAGTATGCATTCTCTAAAGCAACCCATTTCATTTTGTTTAGCCAAGCAATTTCCAAACATATGTTTTTTCTTGGAATTCTTTTTCAGTATAATAATTCTATTTATTTTATTTTTTTAGTTTATACTTATTTTCTTCATGATAGACTGCTAGAGAGAGATAGACAGATACAGAGACACCCTCAATAGGTCTTTGCACTGTGGTCCTCCTCCCAGATCTGCAGCTGGCCAAGACTACATGCACACTAGTGGGCATGCCTGGAATGAGGTAGACTGGGGCATGAACCTGGAGCCTGCCTGTATGGTCTCCATGCTGTGCAGCGATGTCATTGCTGCCTGCACCACTGCAGCTGGGCCCACGACTCCACCTTTCGAATTTATTGTAAGTCACATTAACATTTCATGCGTCATGGAGAAAGAAAGAGCACTGACAATGTTCCTTTGATTTTTAAGATTTAAGAGATACAGTTGGGAGAAAAAAAATAATAAACTTCAGGAAATACTTCTTTACACTACAAATCAAATGAAACTACATAGTCTGGAAAAGAGATAATAAAATTTTAGAAGTATTTAATAACTCTGTGCATTTTTGTTAGTAATTGCAGTACTCGTTTATGGATTCTTTTACACATTTCCAGATACTGTGGGGGGCAGACAGTCTTGTGAGTTCTGACGTGTGTGTTTCATGCACGTGGCCACACCCCATACTCACTTTCCTATTCCAGCTGCAACTGCACAGGTCAGAGCTCCAGCCATTTGTGACTCAAGGGTAAATATGAGGTTTAGAGGCCTCTGTATTAGGAGGGGACACCACCTGCAGAAAACTCCCAGACTCCAAGGTCTACAGAAACCATGTCACTTTGCTCAGTGATAACCCATGATATGCTTCATTATAGACAACACTCTTTAATCCCCCTCATCTTGTGTCTATGCATGAGTTCCAAACTAGATTTTTAACTACTCCAGGATCCATATTTTTCATTTTTCTGTATTCTTTTTTTTTTTTGAAGAGGTTTTTGCTATAGGGCATGTGCGCTCGCCAGGAAGACAAGAGAGAGACAGAGAAACAGAAAGCGAGAAATCACCCCCCAGGGGGGAAGGCCATGCCACAATCCCTTCTCCTCCATTCTCTTCTCAGGATCTTGGGCATGCATGCACACACACCCGGCATGAATTTAAGCCACTGGGTCTGGGACTTGAACTGCTGTCGACTACATGGGAGTCCAGTGACATAGCCATTACGCTAACTGCTGGTCCCCATTTTTCTGTATTCTCACAGTATCTACTTTGTATAAGAGTCAGGTCATTATAAATATTTATTAATAAGTAACATCTTTCTCCATGCAGTAGTCAAGTGGAAGTATCTCTTATTTGCAAAATTATATTACTATGGTTAAAAAAATATGTATCTTGAATTGCCTATTTCTAAAGTTTTTTTGTTTGTGAAGATGAGTGATCTAATTTAATCTAGAAGTTAGATCAGAAAAGCCACAATGGATTTGCTAGTGCCATAAAATAAATCATTTTAATAATTAGATACATAAATAGTGCGTGATAGACACGATAAAGTTGTCTCAGTTCTGCACAAACACCGGACTTCCAAGTCATTTGTAAGGAATATATTCCTCTTATTACATTCAAAATAATGGCTGAACAATGATTATAACTTTTTCTGAATAATTTCCTTTTTATCATCTATGGATTCACAAAGTATTACAGTAATTGATGGTAGTACAGTGCTTGGTAATTTGAAGAAATGAAATAAAACTCTTCTAATGGTATGCAGAAAATAAAAATAAAACAAGTCATTTGCATAACATTTTACAAAAAATAATTAATATTTTTTTCTGGAAAAATAAATTATGCACTTTATACTGAAATGTGACTCTATTAAAGTGTTTAGAAAATAGTTACATTCATTTCTGGCAGTGTGCTCCAACGTTCTTATCTGTCATTCCCTCATGCGTGACAAAATGAGGGGCAAGCTGTTCACATGAGAGAACAGCAGCTTATTTTCACAGGAAAAGACGTGAAACATCAAACAGAATTTGCTTAAAAAATCCAAGTGTCAAATGACAGAGATACACAAATTCACTAAGAAAATACATTTCTCAAGGCCACTGAGGTGACACCACCTTTGACGAAACTCTATCAAAGGCAGTTTTAATTGTGCTACCCTGGGACGTCCATCAAATCAGCCTGCTCCCCATGCAGGGTACAGTCCTCACCCACACCTGAAAGCACAGTATTTGGCCACAAGACGGACACACAGAAGTGGAACTCATGACTAGCCGCCTTTTATAAAGAAGGAGAGAAGGCAGCGTCTCCATTCTTCTCTATGTGTGGCCCCCAGCGGGAACACCTTTGGCACAGAACAGGACAGGCTTTTCCATGTGGTGGCCAGCTGGCAGTCTCTGGAGTGACACATGACAAGCCTGACACTTATGGCAGTGATATTACTGAGCCGAATGTGCTTGTCTAGCTAGGAAACCAGAAAAGGTAAGGGCTGGTTTAAGTCTAACTAAACAGGAAGTTCATTATTTTATTTATTTTTTAGAGAGTTTTTTTGCTATAGGGCACATGCCCTCACCTTAGAGACAAAGTGAGAAATCACTCCCACCTTCTGGGGAAGATGGCCACTCTGCAATTCCTTCTCTCCAATTCTCCTCTCAGGAGTTTGGGCATGCACACACATGTGCCCAGTGTCACTTTGGAGTCACCGGTCTGGGACTTGAACTGGCCAGTCATGTGGAAGTCCAGCGACTTAACCATTATGCCATCTGCTGGACCTAGGAAATTACTTCTTATCCATGAGATACACCTGAATGGCAATTTGGAAATGAGCCTGCTTTCTGCTGTTTTTTCTTCTTTATCTTGCTTTTCTTGTGCTTTTTTTTAGCCTTATTTTTGCTCGGCTGCTTCTTCTTGTACTCTTCTTTATACCAGGGGCCCCAGACTCCTCCGTTGAGACGAGGGTTACTTCTGGGGTCCTTAGGGGGGTACCTGACCGGCACTGCGGTTTTGTTGAACTGTGAGAGCCTCCGCAAGAGCTGCTTCACGATGCCGGGGTACCTGCTGGAGAGGTCCACCCGCTCATAGGGGTCCGCTGTGATGTTGAAGAGCCACACACTCTTGCCAGTGGACAAGGTAACCCGTTCATTGTGCCACCGAGTGGGCCCCAGGTTGCTGAACGCCTGTGGGGGCACCCAGTCACTGTAGCCAGGGTTCCCCGTGAGCAGCTTCCAGTGCTGCACCCGGATGGCTGACTGGATTGCAGTGTTCCAGATCCCATAGCCTGCCGCCCATGAGCCATTTTTCGCCTTGGTGTAAATGGGGTCGATGTTGTGCAAAATATCTACTCGGGGTGATCGAAGGCCCTCACTTATGGTCTCCCAGATGTCATAGCCGTCCAGTTGAATGTCCTCGTCAATCTGTCCCTCGGCCAGTGAGATCAGAGTGGGGTACCAGTCAGTGATGTGCACGAGCTCCCTACACACTGTCCCCCTGTTCTTCAGAAGTGGGCTGTGCACAAAGCCGACAGCCCGGATCCCGCCTTCCCAATATGTCCCTTTGCTGCCTCTGAGAGGCCAGTTGCTTCCTCCTGCTGTGGGCTGGCCACCGTTATCTGAGGAGTAAATGAGAATGCTGTTGTCATAGAACCCATATGTCTTGAGAGCCAGGGTCACATTGTGGATTGCTTCATCTAAGCAGGCAAGCATGGCAGCGTACCTGCGCCTGTTGATGTTGATAATGGATCGGTAGTGCTCAAAATACCTGCCAGGGGCTTGCAGTGGAGAGTGCACAGCTTGGTAGGCAATATATAAAAATATGGGCTTTGCAGGGTTATGAGAGGCTAAGATTTGCTGCACTCTCTGAGTGTACATCTGTGTGGAATAGATGCCATTGTCTTGGTCCCAGGCAGCATGGTCATTTTCATATAAGTCATAGCCACACATCCCGGGGCTGTCACATTTGTAGTGTGTATAATAATCACCACTTCCCAAAAGGGAACCGAAAAAGGTGTCAAATCCTCTTTGGGTGGGCATGCATTCTTTTCTGTAAAAACCCAAGTGCCATTTTCCAACCATGTGTGTTGAATATCCAGCCTCCTTCAGCTTCTGAGGTAGAGTTGCATTGTCCAGAGGTAAACAGTTGGGTTGCGTTGGTCTTATGATAGAATGCTGAAGTCCGGTGTGTATTTGATACCTTGAAAAAAAAAATTGTCAGGGCAGGATAAACCAGATATTCTATATAAAACAATTAATCCTAAATTAAATGTTTCTATAAACTTTATTTCAAGTAATATATATAACCAATCCAGTATTTCTACTCTTGATTCAAAAATGTTACCATAATTTGTTTCATATTGAACATCTGAAACACATTTTAAAAAACTAAATCAGTACTTTTGAAACTGAGATTTGACCACTTAGTCTTTATTTATAGTTCTTTAAAAAAATTTTTTTAGACTTTACTTCTTTTTTATTTCATGAGAGTGAGAGACAACAGAGCTAAAGAAGAAGAGAGAGAGAAAAACAAGTACCCTCAACAGGATCTCCCACCATAATCACCCTGCTCTTCTAGCCTGCTAGGATCATGGGCATTCACACCCATGTACAGGTCAACTGGGGAACCAAAACCATGGTCTTCCATATAGATTCAGCATCACTTGAGCAGTGTGTTATCACTGTACCACCCAGCTGACCCATTTAAAGTTCTTTTAATGAGTGAATTTGAATAAACTTTAGTCTCTTAGATATATGACAAAAAACTAAGAAAAAATATACAAAATTGGAGTACTGTATTATTATTGCTGCTGTTTTTAACCTAGAGACCTCACATTTGCTACTAAATAATTTCCTGAGAACATTTAATTCAGTCTAATTCTGAAGTATTAAAAATGCATGCAAAAATTATACAAAAGTGTCCTTATTGATTGCTACACAATATTTTATACTTAGTCTCCAACCTGTTAGGTCCTTGAAAAAAAGAAAAGTTTGTGACTACATAATATGTTATTGTCAAAAAACTATTTTAGGTAACTGTTTCAGCTAATGCTAAGGTTACATTTTTCAGAAAATAGCAGGAAATAAGTCCTTATGTATGTTTCCTACAGCGTCTCCTTTTAAAAACATTTACAATTAACTTTAATATAGTCAGAGAAAATATGGTAACCCTTTCTATATATTAAAATTCAATGAATGTTAATTTCTGCCATTTTTGTTTTTCCAAAGATATTTTTTCAAAGGCTTTTTTCCAGAAGTATTTACTATCACATAAATGTATGACCTTTCATTTGGGTCAAGATGTGCCTACTATTGGGTCGTTGGAAAAGTCACGACACATGCATCATGCCTTTTCCAGTGACCCAATAGTACTTGACATTTTCAAAGTGGTTGATTCTATGGTTATTATTGTAACTTTTAAACGAGTTTATAAGTAGAAAATACAGAAATTTTAAGAAAACGAAGGTTAGAGAAAATGCCTAGGGTAAATATGATATTCTAGAAATCAAATTACAGAGTAAAATTGAGGTCAAAACCAAAACATTTTCCACAGTGATTTAATGTGAAAGGCCAACAGGTTTTACACATCTCAGGTTAATAGTTCAATTTATTTTTAAATGTTCAGTTCACAGTGTAATGCAACTGTGAGTTCTCTGAATTATTTATTGTAGTCAAGTACTGATGGTTTCATGGGAGTTATAGTGATACCTGGTCCTGATTACAAACAGCATTCATACCGGCCCACTGCTGACCATCTAACTGTTTAAGTTTCACAGTAATCACAGCTATGTCCGAGCAGAATGTAATAGTCCCAAAGTCAGAAGGCATCGCTACTGTCCTTGATGATGGTCTCCGTCTAGTTCAGGATCCAAAACTTTCACTCGTGAAGCCACTCATTTTGTACAAGTTCCTGGTAAATCAGTAACAGCTATCCATATAAACACGGAGGACATGTAAAAAGGAGGAATCTGTATGGTCAATACCCGGGGAAGGAGTCAGGGCATGGGCTCTTCACTAACTAATTACCTCACCCTGAACATGTATGTACTTGAACAGAATGTGTGCTCAGTTCATTGAAAGGCTCAGCAGCTCAACCCTTTCTAATCAAATTGTCATTCTCTCACTTAGTGGTAAAGGCAAAATAATCGAGGTGTATGATAAACAGAATACAGACAATACTTGCAGGAAAAAAGGGAAGGGAAGAAGAGGTCTGCTACTTTCAGAAAATGGTGTCATGTTAGCAAATAGAGTTCAGAACAACTAAGCAACTGTGACTTTTCTATTTTCTCCATAAAATAGAGCAGTTTTCATATTGGAAACTGTAGAACCAACATAAAGATTTGGCAGCAATTCATAACAGATGAGAGATTTTCAGAACATCTGCTCAAATGGGCTGGAACCTCTGGGACTGAAGGGGAGAGAGTTTGGGGTAGAATGTGGGCCTTAGGTAAAGGTATAGGTTTTGGAATCAGACAGACCTGGGTTTGTCTTTGCTCCACTGCCTATTATCTGTGTGACTTTGGACAGTACTTAATCCCTCTGATGCTCAGCTTCCTCATCTGTAATACAGGGGTAATAATATATATCGGGTTGCTTGCTATGAGCAGCTAAAGACAGCATGAAGTCTAGTAAGGAGAATATATTTAATAAATGGTAAGAGGGGCCAGATGCCTCTCAAAGCATCATACTCTGAGAGGCTAAACTACATGGGAAGGTTCTGGGTTCGTGTCTGGAGACCCCGTGTGTGTGTGTGATCCAGCACTGGCTGAGGCTGGGGTGGAGTGCAGCACTGGAATCCTCCTCTTGAGATTACTGTCTCTCTGTTTCTTTCCATCTCATCGTCTCTCTCACTCATGGTAGAAATTAAATAAATACACAAACACGTAATGGTTTTTACTATTATGATTCTAGAGTGCTGGGTTGTGTGTCACTAATATATGCGTGAAGTTTTATAACTTATAGACTGTCTTTGTTATGCATTATCGTATTTGATCCTCTCTCCAATAGTGAGAAGTTACATTCTTCATTTTATAAGCAGTAAAATAGAGATGAAATGGAGAGAAGCTGTGGTATTCCCTCTGAACCTCTCAACCTGTCTCACAGGCTTTGAAACTGGCTCCTGAGTTTCAGGGGCTAAGTCTGGTGCCCCTTCAATGCTTTATAAGAGTTAATACTAGGGGTACCAGCAGTTAGCATAATGGCTATGTCGCTAGACTCGCACGTAGTCGACCACGGTTCACATCCCGGACCCGGTGGCTTAAAACTCACGCTGGGCGCATGTGCATGTGTGCCCAAGATCCCAAGAGGAGAATGGAGGAGAAGGGATTGCAGCGTGGCCATCCCCCCTTGGGGATGATTTCTCGCTTTCTGTCTCTGTCTCTCTCTGTCTGGCAAGCGCACGCGCCCTATAGCGAAAACCTCTCAAAAAAAAAAAACAAAAAAAAAAGTTAATACTAGTATTTCTTGAAAGAGCAGAGGAAAGATGCCAGAAGCCTTGTAAAGTAAATCTGTTCTAACTTTCCAGTTGAAGAAGAGAAGGATTTCAAACCAGATAGTAAGGCTGATGTGGATCCCAGAAAAATTTAGGAATAATTTTTTAAAGTAGATGATTGGTGAGCATTTCAAAGAGAACCAATTAGGCAGGGTTGGAAAGGAAAGTCTTGCCAAGTGAGCTTAATTTTCTTTAGCAGTGGGGTGTCCATCCCAGACCTTTCTCCCCAGAAACACGTGGAATCTGAGGCCTCCACTGTCAAGTTATCTCAACACATTAAGTAGACAGAGAGTCTCACTGTGAACAACTTATGGTAAGACTCAATGAAAATTAAGTACAATTGGAGCTGACTCCTGACAGACTCCCACAGCTAGAGGAGGGAACTCTAGACCAAACCCAAATCAGTCAAACAGAAGGCAAAACCAGAGTAAGGTTTGGGGAAAGATCTCAAGAAATGAGGGGAAGTAAATCCTCATGGGAAAAGAACACAAATGGAAATCATATTAATTTGTGGGGAAGTAATTTTTAAAAGGCATTGGTGGAATAATGTAAAAAAAAAGTTCTGATATGAATATAACTTCTAGATTGTCCTGTATTTTGTTAGTATGTACAGATGTATAACTACATGTTTGTAAAATATAGGAGCATTTATGAACAGGACCAACTGTGTAAATATTTGTTCACTATAAAGTAATAAAATTATATTGGATCTTCTATTATAACAAAAAAGGATCTGCATTAGGTAAATAGCTTAGTAATGATAATAGCACTTAAAAATCTGCCTAATTCTTTTCTTATAAAATAATGAAAAATCAACTGTATGATAGTGCTGGGAAAGAATAAGAATGACAATCTTGTACTTTAATCGCAGTTAAATACAAAAGAAAAAAAAATCATCTAGATGCTCTTCTCTGGCCTCCACAACTGTTTGGAGCAGGTAGGAGTGTTCCATCTAACCAGCCAACCAACCAACCATTGCATTTGCTTAATATGTATAAAATATTAACAAAACAGACATTAAAAAGGGTGAGATCCAAAAACAGAAATAGAATTTCTGGAATTTTTTTCTTGCATCCTAGTGAATCATCTTATGTATGGACTCTGGTATGGAGTCCACACTGGAATATAGAAAGGGGACTATAAAGAGACAAGAAGAGACACAGATTGTTTGGAGGTGCTACAGTAGTTTGGGTCAGAGATGAGGGTGGCTTGGACTACCATCTAGTGGCAGTGAAAATGGAAAGAAGTGGGTGGATTGAATATACACTTGGGACTCTGAACCACAGACTAAATCAATGAGGGATGGAGAGAAGGGAGAGAAAAAGGAAGGAATTAAAAATGATTTCTTGACTGATAACTGTTATAACTTAGGGAATGGTCCCACTGATTTCTGTTTCATTCAGAAGTTCAGAATTAGGACTAAGTCTGGGAGGCAGATTTCAACCCAATGCAAAAAAGAAACAAAAATAGTAAAACAGCCTAGGTGACTGCCTGCCAAAGATTGTGTAAAAGAGAAGCAGTCTAAGTGACCTCTGAGGTTCCTTCTAACTGTACGAATCAGTGGGTGAAATTCTCCCTACTTTGCCTCATAAGCAGAAAGTCTATCATAGGCACCCTTCATAAAATATTGGGTCACTGAAAAGTCATGATGCATTTTTCCATAGGACACCAGAAAAATACATCCTGACTTTTCCAACAACCCAATAGTT